CTAATGAGGCTAAATTATTATCTGACCAGAGGCATTTGCATCTTAGTAAAGGATACTTACTTAAAGAAGAGCATCCTTGTCTTGCTGATGCTCTCTTCTTCTTAGGCTATAAGATTTTGGGTTTTGCCAGGTGGTAGTGGCGCATGCCTTTAATCCCAGCACTCGGGAGGCAGAGGCAGGTGGATCTCTGTGAGTTTGAGGCCAGCCTGGGCTACAGAGTGAGTTCTAGGAAAGGCGCAAAGCTACACAGAGAGACCGTGTCTCAAAAAAAAAAAAAAGATTTTGGGTTTTGTTTGTGTTTGTTTTCACGATTTCATGCTTGTATATAGCATACTGGGATGACTCTCACACCCCATTGCCTTTTCTTCTTCCTCTTGCACTCCTGTTGATACTCTTCTTCTCTCCAACTAGTCTGTTAGGCCCTTCCTACTTTCATGTGATTTTTTTTTTTTTTGTTGTTGTTGTTGGTGTACATACAGGTCTTGTGCAGGAGGTCACAGCTGCTGTGTGTCCATGATGATGATGGCCATGCCGTATCCAGAGGGCAGTAGTTTGATAGTCTTTCCCCTGTTATCTGGCCCTCCCAGTGGAAACTGCCCACCTTTGGTGATGTTCCCTGGGCCTCAGGGTAGGTGACATGGTTGTCCCATTTAGGGTTGAGCACTCAGCAGTCCTCTCTTCTCTGTGCTTTGACAAGTTATGAGTCTCTGTGTTGACTGTCGCCCACTGCCAAAAGAAACTTCTCTGACTGGCTGAGAACCACACAAGCCTATGGATACAAACATAAATATTTAGAAGGCAGTTTAACTACATGTCTATTTAACAAAATATCAGCAGCAGATTTCCTTGTGAGGCCTGGGAGCTCCCGGACATAGGCTTTTGTCCAAGTTTATAGTACTGGATATGTATCCCCTTCAGTGGAGTAGGCCTCAGGGAATGTAAGCCCTTTATAGTCAGGACAAATGTCACTTACAACACCTATTCCAGTGCCACATATAGCTCCTGGTTCATAGTGCAATGTCCAACTATGTTCATTAAATGAATCCACACAACACCTTGCAAACCTTGTTGGGCTTACTTTCTACAGGTAGAATTTGAGCTACCACTGGCAACCACATCAATCTATTCACTTGTCAGCCAATGATCCTAAAGTCCTGGGGCAAGAATTTCTAAGAAAAAAAACCCAGAAAAATTGATAAGAAATTATTAAGAGAAATGTATTATGATGGGCTTTCCATTCCATTGATCACTGAAGAAAGTTCAGTGTTTACTAGCTTTGTATGATTTGGCAGGGCAGTATCTAGACAACAGATATGACTGGAGAAGCAAATAATAGGGGAATTATGCGGGAAAAAGCTAAGTTTGAGAAGGCCTCTCCTAAAAGAGAAATGGAAATGAGAGAAGCAGCTGTCTTTGGGTGGAGGATAAATGAGATTTTGTGTGTGTGTGTGTATGTGTGTGTGTGTGTGTGTGTGTGTGTGTGTGTGTGTAACACATAACCAATCTCACACCCACCCAGACACCCTAATCTTCTGAAGGTGACGTTGGACTTACGAACCTCCTGTCTTCTGCTCCAAAGTGTCATGGTAATACATATGTATGTACCTCTATAACCCCTGTACCTGGCTCTTCTGCGCTTTCAGAGTTTGATGAAGCATCAAGAAAAATCTGGCAATTCTTTCCTATGCATTTCACCCCCCTTTTGGATATCCCCACAAAGACTGGGTTATGGGGACATAACAGTGTTTGAGTTACAAACCAAAAGGAAAAAGACGAGAGAAAAACAGACTCTTGGCAAGTTTCTAGGAGAGTCTCCTGAGAATGAGACTATCTTTCCTTCTGAAACAACTGCAGACAACTTTAATTATCTACTCCTACCTTGCATTGTCCCAGGCTGCACAAAAAGAGAAGCATGTGGTTGCCTTTATTCAAGCTTCTCTTGGGTTATTTTTTCAATATTTATGCACTATTCACAGAAGGTAATGGAAAGTTATTTGACAATGTACATACATCTCTATATGTTGAAAAAAGATATCCGAGGAACAGAAAGTATAACAATCCTAATGCTTTCAGAATCATAACAAAGCTCCTTAACCAGGGACATCTCTTGGCAAAATGAATCAACAGGAACCTGGAATGTATTTTAGATTTCTTTAGTAAAAGGTAGCTAGAAAAGCAGCATCAGGGGAGGCAGAAATGTGGGAGTTAATCGAAAAAGAGCTCAGATCTACAAGGGATCTTCTAAAGAGAAGACTGGAAATAGAAAGACGCAGATGTCTTTGGGTAGACTTTTACTCGGTCTCACCAAAGGATTTTATAGGATTCTGAATAATCTTATGTCAATAAATTATTTTGATGGTCTCAACTGAACTTCTCACAGACATCCCTGCTCTTGATCCAAATATAGCTGCCTTGTTTATCCAGAGAAGCAAGAAGCTCCAAGCTCTGAGATGGCCATCTGTAAAGTGGTATTGAGAGAATTTGCCCGTTCCAAGTCTAGGGAGAGCTTGGTGCCTAACACTTTCCCCTTCCTCACATAACATACCCAACTTTGTTCTTTATTATAGTGGGATTTTCTTAATAAAGAATAGAAGCGTTGTGAGATCCAGTTAGGGAGAAAGAAAACGAGCTGGGATGACTACGACCCGAATTCTAAAGTTTGATTCAGCTCTCCTGACATTTCTTTTCAGCTTTATATTAGTAACTATTTGTATATAGTGGGTTTAATCATGACATTTCCATACATGTACACAATGCATTTTAACCGTACTCGTACCTTCCATTATCCTCGTTTGTCCCCTTACCTCCTCCACTGATCCTCTTCCTCTTCTCAGGTCGTCCTCCTTTCCTGTCCTTGGAGGAGTATGTGACCTAATGATTTTCATCGGGGTTGAGTTTTGGAGCATAGGCAGACAGATTTTTACAGGAGCAGGGCACCTTACCATTGGCTGCATCACTGAAGAAAATCTCTCTCCCTCTCCCAGCAACCATAAACTGCCTATAAATCTTCACAGAGGTTTGGGACCTCATGAATCCCCCTTCTTTCCCTGGCAGCATGTTGACAGGCCCTACCTTATCCAGGTCTTGGATGAAGGATCACGGAAGCTGTTAGTTCAAGAGTACAATGGCCAAGTCATGCCAGAAACACAACATTCCACAACACTCCACCCCTTCCTCTGCCCTTATATTCTTTCCACCCCTTCTTCTGAACAAAGCGAACAGTAGCATTAATATATAAGGATAAACATACTTCTTTAGAGGGCAACCTGATGAGTGTATCATGCCCATTTAGCAGAACAACAGATGAAGCTTCCCCACCAGGACTCATGATATCCCCAGTCATAGAATTTTGACAAGGTTTTACAGGTTTACAGTACCAGATGTGGAGTGGACTTAAAATCCAAGTCAGATAGTGGCTGGTTACTCCCATAATACGCTTGCCACCGCTCTACCCACTGTACATCTTGCCTTGGCTGGTCTCCCTCAGAATTTCCCCAGTATCAAAGAAAGGTGTAGCATGCAGGGTCCACAGTTACCATTTGACATCTCTTAAGCAGCTATGATGGGCCAAGAGGTGAGGTTAAAAGTGTAAATGAGTATTCCACTCCAAAGGAAAAAGAAGGATAAATGAAATGGAAGAGGGAGAGTGGAGGTGGGGCGGGGGGGGGGGGCCGCGGCGGAGAAAAGAGGAAGATGTGGTGATATGTGGTAGAAGGGACAGCAGAAAAATGTATCCAGGCAAACAAAAAGAGAGAGACCAATTTAAAGTGTGTGTGTGTGTGTCGGGGACCAATAGAGGGAAAGGAAAAAACAAGAGGAGGCAAAAAGAGAAGGAGTAATGATCAGGAGTGATCCCAGAAACGACAAGATGAGAATGTTTTTTTGGGGGGGATGGTTTCAATATCTTCTAAAGAGACTACCTAACGAACAAGACAGCCACATCAACTGTTTTCAAACTGTGTGCAGAGGAATGGAGAAAATTGTGTGCTTGGAGTTAGAAGGCATGCAGAGTTCTGAGGATTTCTACATCCACTCAGTGAGTTAGCCTCAAAGGTTATCATGGGGCTTTGCTTGGGGAAGTAAAAGCAAAAACAAACACCGGTGTCTTCTTCTGATGCAGGATTTTTCCTGTCTGGAAAGATGCTTTTCTTCAGCTCTTGTTGAGTCAATTCATAGTCAGTCAAGTCCTGGTGTCTATACGTGTTTATTAAAATAAACAAGGAGGTTGAAAGTAGTAGATTAGAGCAGATAAAACTGTCTAATTTATATTTGATGCATCTTATTATTCTTATTATTTAAGGTTTAATAAAAATTTGGAATTCGTATATATTTTGTAATATAAATGAATGAGCAAGGAAGGTATCTAGGTGTTTACTGGCCTACACCAAGGATTATACTGAATATGTCCAACAGCACTGGCTTCTAACTCCAGGTGTCTGAAGTAGGTGTTATTTGAAAGTCTGTATCTATTAATAAAGGACAGATTTCTTATAATTGGTCACCGCCTGAAAGAAATGCAGACAAGAGGTGTGGGGAAAATGCCATTGTTCTTGCTACCATGGGCATTTAAGACTCCTGTCCACAAGAGCAAATTGGTGAGTCAAGATCTTTAGTCCCCTCTTTTCTCTGTGTTAGCATGTCTGAGGATGAAGGAAATTGTGACTTTTGTCCAGCTGTGCCCAGTACTCAAGCATTCAACAGAAAGAACAATCACATTGGTGGAATTCAGTACTGGGGGAATTCTGTGTGCTGGGAGGGAGGCCACCAATTCATCTCATATACATTATTTCTCCAGGAAACACAGCATAATTGAGGACAATTTTCCACCATGAATTGCATCATTAGCTAACACAGGGAAAGTGAAATGCTGTTAACTTTTCTTTTTCTTCTACAAAGCTGATGAGCTGAAGAAAATAGAAACGAAAAGTTTAATGCCATTTTTTTCTCTTTTGCCACGGATATATGTTGAAAATCAGAATCAAAACACTTTTACACGGTAATAGAAATCCCACATTTTAATACATTGCCATGCACATAAGGAATCAAATAATGCCGAATACAAAATAGTCAAATATACAAAATGATAAAGCCGGTTTTCAAGCCTCATAGAGATCATGCTCACGGATACGAGTGGGCAGAAATCTGTACAGTTTTATTTTTTATCAATTTAAAAAGAATCATGCCCCTTCCCAGTCTTCATGAAGAAAACCCAAAATAGAAAGAAATATTCTAAGAAAATATAAAGGAGACCCAAAGGGAATCGGCAAGTTGGTAGCTGCTCAAGATACGTAAGTCAGTGGCTCAAAATTGTGGTGCACAATGATTCTTGTGTTTAGAGGAGAAATGTTTCTAAACATCTGGTACCGTGGAGCCCAGGAAGGTGGACTTCCAACGGGAAAGGCACTCTTGTTTATGCCACATAACTTCATGTGTTTTTCTAACTCTGGGCCTGGAATACTTTCTGGAGTGAAAAAGAAAAGAAAAGAAACAAGTGAACAGAAGAAAAGGAAGGAAAAAAAGCAGAGCAATTGTGAGTAATAGATAAGGGAATTCCTATTTAATGAACCTGTCTTGGGAGACCAACACAATTAAGACCGCTGTGTTCACTGTGCACTTAAGGAAGCCATAATGTCTACAGTCTCCATAGACTACTATGTTATGAAATGTGCTTTTTAGTCACGCTGGTCAAAAAATGAACCAGTCTTTTTTTTTTTTTTTCTTATCTGATTTCTTCCCTCAGACTTTGTTATTTTGGGGGAGAGTTATTTTTCTTCTTTTCATTTTTGTAGTGCTGGAGGTTGAACATGGGTCCTTACATATGTTAGGCAGGCATTCCATCATGGAACTATACCCTTCGCCCCTCAGAGTCTGCAGAGCGCATTGCTGTTCTGTTTAATCTACATCAAATTTTTTTTTTCTTGTTTCTTTTCTAGAACAAATACTAACATACAATAGCACTTGATCAAGGAAGTCTGCCTTGCCTATGTAATTCTTGATGCCCCCAGCTTGGGAACTGCACATGCTCTGTGGCCTTGTTCAGGCTGAAGGTTGGGAGTCTTTGCCTGTACCCATCTCTGGGTAGGTCACTGTTCTCTGAACCTTGAAGAGGGGGAGTGGAGATAAGTGGATGCTGCCACTGAAAGCTCTGGAGAACATATCCTGTTTCTCAGAAAAAGCCTGTGTGTGTGTGTGTGTGTGTGTGTGTGTGTGTGTGTGTGTGTGTGTGTGTATGTTTGTCTGTATATCTGTGTGTGTCTCTGTGTGTTTGTCTGTGTGTGAGTCTGTGCGTCCAACCATTTGTGTGTATATGTGTTCACACGCACACATGTAAAATACCATGTATTGCTTTCTCATACTTCCTTTTCTTCTTTTTTTTTTTTTTTTTTTTTTTTTTTTGGTTTTTCGAGACAGGGTTTCTCTGTGTAGCTTTGCGCCTTTCCTGGAACTCACTTGGTAGCCCAGGCTGGCCTCGAACTCACAGAGATCCGCCTGCCTCTGCCTCCCGAGTGCTGGGATTAAAGGCGTGCGCCACCACCGCCCGGCCCTTTTCTTCTTTTAATCCCAGAGTGGAGGCTTGGTAATAATAGTTTTTGAAGAAAAAAAAAACCCAAAATGAGGAATAGTATCATTAACAAAGCCCATAACCCAGTTTGCCATGACAATTATTCATAAATATGTGGTATGGGACAACTTTACCCATTAGCCCCTTCTAGTCCTCAAACAACCCTGTCTGGGACAGAGAGCATCCCAGAAAGATTAAGGCCCAAAGCTCCCAGAAATTGCTATTATACCACCATTCTTGAATTCTGACCAGTTTCTTTCCCTTTATCAGCGAAGTGCCAATCTCTTACAAAGTCCTAAGAATAACGTAAGTATATAAACTACAACAGATCAATATTTTCTTTTCTCAGGTGCTTTTTACTGCTAATCTGTAATTTTGTTACAATATTGATCTTTTCTAAAATTTCGTGTAAAGCTATTTAACTTAGTGCCTAATAACATTAAATAGTTGGATTAACTAGAACTACAGTCGTGTGGTTTAGTGGCGCAAGAGTTGCAGTCAAATTAGTTTCAAAACATTTGCGCTGCCTTGGCTTTTCGACAGACAGGCTTCTGCTCTCATCACTACTGAGATGGACAATGCACATGAAGGGACCCAGTCTTACTCAGTTCTCTGCAATGTGAGCGTCTTCTACTAGCCAAACCCCAGTGTCCTCCAGCATGGCATTCTTAGGACAGTGCTTTCGGCTGGGAGACGGAAGAAGGGGGTGAACTATGCAGAACCCCACCATCGCCCAGTGTGAGTGCAAGTACAAGTATGGGGTCATCACCCTTCCAGAAGCTAAGACTTCTGTTGGCTGGTGATCTGAGGTAGGAGTGGGCTAAGCATGAAAAAGATGGCCCTGGGGATGTGACTCATGAGTAGAAATCTTGGCTTAGCATGCCAGAGGCCCTGGATTCAATCCCCAGCACTGTTAAAAAACAAACAACAACAACAACAACAAAAAACCATAAAACTAAACAAACAAGGATGAAAACAAGGCTCTAGCAAAATTTGAACATAAATAGCCATCAACAACTAACATGACCTTCAAGGTTTCTGTCAGTAACCAGGGGTCTTTTCAATTGATTAATTTATCAAGACAGGATCTCATGCAGTCCCGATTAGTCTCAAAATTGCTATGCAGTCCAGGATGACCTTGAACTCTTGGTCTTCCCTTGCCTCTTTCTCTCCAGTGCTGGCATGACAGGCATGCCCCACCCTACCTGGTTTAGGTGGTGTTAGGGATCCAACTTAGGACTTTGTGCATGCTACCAAATTAATAACGCTTCCAAATTAATAATATCTCCAGCTCCACCAAAGGCCTTTTTAGAACTGGCACATGCTTCACTTCTGCAGCTGATATGTGAGGAAACACATGCTTATCTTGAGTTAACTGCATGGGATCCAGACAGGGAATTGCCCCAAACCTCCTGAGTCTGTGGTTAGCTCCCAATGTGGTTGGCTTTGATTTAACCATCTTCAAACCCGTAACAACACTAAAATTCCAAGCCCTGGTTTTGTATTTATGCTTGAACACAGAGTCTAGCTAGTGTACTTAAAAGGCCTTTATGGTCTTTGTGCTGTTTTAGAAGTTGGAGTCACTTCTCAGGAGATGGCAGCAGAGCATGCTCCATTTGTAGGTGGGATAGAAATAACCTATAAAGTGCCCAAGGTATTGAATTAGTTTCTCCTTCCCAGGTGAAATAATGATCTACTATAATAAGAATTCTTGCTATAGAATTTTGTTTCAGCGTGAAGTATTTTAATATATTTTTGTAGAACTTAAGATGGTGTGGTAGTGATTGAATGAAACTTCACAAAACAGATTTGTGTGTTCTTTCAAAACACTTAAAACTGGAATTCTACGTTTGATAACTATGTCTATGCCTATATGGAGAGAACTGTGTGATTCAATTATTTATTTCCTTTGATCCAAATGATTGAATTCTAAAAGGTTGTGAACATGATGGCAAGCAACCAGCACTCTCCAGTGTTTCAGTTAGTTACTCTAGGTGTGAGTACCTCCAAGTTGGGTGAAATTTCTTTCTTTCTTCTTCTTTTGGTTTTTTTGAGACAGGGAATTTCTCTGTGTAGCTCTGGCTGTCCCAGAACTTGCTCTGTAGACCAGGCTGGCCTCAAATTCAGAGATCCACCTGCCTCTGCCTCCTGGTGCTGGGATTAAAGGCATGTGTCACCACTGCCCAGCTCAATACATTTCTTAGTATTTCAGCAGAGCTGCTATGCCAATACCAGACACTTTGGGCAGAAAGGCCCAGTTCTAAGATCCATTCTATGGCTACTGGAAATTTCTGGGGTTTGGAAAACAGCAATAAAACAATTGATTGACACAAATCCCCCAAACCATTAGCTCCAAAATTTGAAAATGTTATGTGATCGGAACGAATGTCAAAAGACCAACAACGTTTGGTATCATTCTGTCTGTTGGCTTTGTGAATCAGCAAGAGCCCTGTCACCAGTGACTTTTAAATGGCAGCCAGTATAGATTGCTGGTGTCTTTTAATGCTTGAAATAAATATGAAAGGGGGTTCAGATGGGAGAATTCTTGGGTGCTCATGGTTCTTAAGTAGCCTTATATGGTAAATGAAACAGTTTTATAAAACCTTGAGTGACCAGGTTTCACTACTCCGTAGAAGTCATTGCTTTGTCATTTTATGTGAAGCAGAGGACCAGTGCTGGTCCATGCCTGATGGTCTTTCTCTTTTTCATTTTGGCACCTAAATTTCATGGGACACATTTTAGAGTTTAGAAACAGCTCTTGTCCCTTCCTACTTCCTCATCCAGGATTGTGCCTCTGAAACTGAAGTGATGGACAGAAGGCATCACCATGGATATTAACCCTGTAGCCACCTTCACAAAGGCACACTTTGTCTTTTATTTTTTCCCCTCACTCATAGCTTTCCAAGTCTATTCTGTATTCCGGCTAACAGACATCACCAGAGGAACATAACTGAATCAGCCTTCATTTACCTTTAAGGCCCCAGAAGTTCTGTCTATTGATAAACCAGAGTTCACAGGACCATGCTCTGGCTCTAGGATTAGACCCAGATCTAAGGAGATTGAGTTGGAAGCTTGCTTATCTTTGAAACAGAGTCCTCAGCTGTGCTCAAGTAGATATGTTTCCTGGCCTGCCCTCCTCTCTAATCCCGCTGGCTTTGTTCTAATGGTCACCACTGACCAGTGACTTTCTGGAATGAAAATGGGAGTCCCACTGCTGCTTGGGCTGCATCAAGGTCAAGCTTAAGACTCATTTTTTAGTCAGGAAGGGGAAAAAACTGGTGAGGACTCTGTGGTTCTGTTTGAATTCTTTATAGAATACTTGAAATATACCTATAGCACTATGTGAAAGAAAGAGGTGAGAAGAAAGAAAAAAAATCACACACACATAAAATAAAGCAAAAAGTGGGATGGAGGGGGTTGGAGGAGATGGGATGAATAAAAACAGCCTTTAAAGAATAAAGGAATTTTTTGTCACTTTCAGAGATTTGATTTTTAAGTCTATGGCAACTTTAAGTCTAGTTGTCAAGTAGCAAAATTACTCTAAAGAAGATGGAAGAAAACATTGAAAAGAATGAAGCTGCTAATGTGTGGGGGAGAGGTTTGGATTAAAAAAATGTCTTAGGGGTGTCTTGAAAACTTTACTTCCTTGAGACTTTTATTGTTGCTATCCAAAACTAATTACGTGACATTTACAGACAAAGAAAGCATTTAGGGTGTGTGAGGTGGATCCATTAGAGGTTCTCATCCTTAGTTTATATTCACAGTCATCCTTCATCTTCCCTCTCCCCATTGAGCATTAAAAATGGCACGTTCTCCTCAGTACTGAAGATTGTATGCCTCTGTTCGGGCAGCTGTAGAATGACTCTGGAGAGAACCTGGCATCTTTACCCGTATTGTGGAGGTAGAAATCGAAATACTGGGTGTACACGTCATGAAGCGAGCACAGGGATTTGAAGGTGAGCCACGTCCCATAAAGAAAGTTGATGGGGTCCCTATCTGTCCTAGGCAAGTCTCAAGCTACTGGCACGGTTTGCTTTCGACCCCAGCAGAACCATGGTGCTCTGCATATTTAAATTTGATTTTGGATGTGAACCAAGCTATTCCCCTCAGCACCCCGGAGAATCTGATAATTATTCATTTCAGTTCATTCCCAAGAGTGCCTTTCCTGCATAAGTGTGAGTGTCAGCCTTTTAGTAAAAGGGGTAGTCCAGGTTTAAGAAAAAGGAAAAATTAAAGCCTCAATCACTAGATATTAAAACATTTACCCCTTAGCTCCCCATATCTCCTGTCCTACAAAAAAAAAAAACCCACCACAGATATGCCTGGGTTTCTGGAAGATAAAATTGCACACTCCCCACCCCCACCCCAAACACACACAACAAAGCAGGAAGTAACCATGGGGCCGTCTCACAGAGGGTCTCCATACAAGGAAACCGAAGGCTGTGAATGAAATCATTTCTCCGTTTTTTTCTGGTTTTGCTTGTGCATGCACAAATGTCATGCCACCATGTTTCCAAACCTATAATGGTTTCAAACAGAGGTTGACAGTTTGGAAAACAGTACGGGCTCATATGCAAATATGTAAGTTGTGCCAGACATTAAGGCATTTTTTAGAGACACCATTTTAAACTGGGCTCTTTCAGGGCCTTCATTTTCCCTTTTCCCATTTTCATCTTTAACCATTATCTTTCCATAATGTTACAGTATTCCTCTGACTCAAAAAAAAAAGAGGCAACTGTTAAAAAAGTCATTCAGATTATTTTGCAAAAGCCAAAATGACAATAGCCCAGGATCATTTAGTGGACATCTGCCCTAGAATGGGCATCCAGTTCTCCAAGGGTTTTAGCAGGAATATCATGGACTATACCAGTTTATTCTTAGCGACTATATCTCAGCACCTGGCAGGGTTAATAGGATTCATTCAAACCAATTCAGGGTCTTTAGGAGTAGTTATAGAATTGGCATTTCAGAGAATTGAGCATAGTGATAAACAGTAGTATCTATAGGAAGGATGGAAATAGACTGGGATGGGCATCGAGGATAGCAACTGGGAGCTGCTGTGGGAAGCTCCGATCAACTTAGCTGGCTACCTAGCAAGGTTCTGTATGTGTTCCCAAGCTGCTCACTCGTTCAGAAATGGGATCTGCCTGCTGTCTGTCATGAACATTTTCCTTTGTTTCTCTGGCAAGGTGAGGGATGGGTGGGTGGGTGTGGATATCTCAATTCAGTTTGTACTGTGGGAAGAGAGTAGTGTTGGAGAGAAAAAAAAAATCATTCAATGGAAGCAGTAGGAGTGTGCCTTATATACTAGAGTTGACAACCAATACAGTTCTTGGCACATGGCGGTCCTTCAACAGATGCTTGCTGAATGAAAAGAAAGAATGAGGGAATGCATAGACCCTGCTTCTGGAACTAAGGCAAAAGGATGGGTCATAGAGCAGGGGCGTTGGCAGCCTGGGTTTGGATTACCAATTTTAGCTTTTTAGACAATTATGGTCTGTGGTAGCTTTGATGGTTCTGGTGGTGATCTGTGAAAAGTCCAGACCTCATGTTAGCTATCATTTCTCTGAGTTCCTATTAGGAGGTCCCTTTCTAGTCCACATCTGACAGGAGCCATCCTGTGGAGAGATATCCTGTGTGTATCACATTCGGGTCTCTCCACTTCCTGAGACTTCAAGCGGAGACAGAGAATGAGTGTTTGGAGACAATGCAAAATGTCTTGCTTGTTTACGCTGGATGGGTACCAGAAGTTGTTACCTCTATTTTAAATATTAGTCTCTGATGCCTATTGGTCTCAGGTTAGGTTAGTGAGTGCTCATAACACACTTTGCTGAGGTTTGATTCAGCCAAGATTCAATTTCCAGGGAAAAGATGCTAATGTATCATAAGGGGGCAATCAATATGAATGAACAGTTCTCCAGTGTTCAGGTAAGCAACCACTGAATGGACAGGTTTCCCAGGGCTGTGCTTTGTTGTTAGACAGAATTAAAAAATGTTATATATACATCCAGGTAGTATTAAAGGGGAAGAGTAAGTTCTATGCTGAGGAAGAAACCTAGTGTGGGCTGAATGTTTTACTTCTCTAGGCACACAGTGGAGGTCATCTGATGCTTCTCTCCAGAACTGTGATTTAAACTTGACTTCTGGAAGTTTTCCTAAGTGTGGAAATGGGACCACTAAGGAAGGTTGCATTCTGCTGCCCACAGTGGTCTTTGTGTTTGGAAGATCTCCTATATAGAAGAGTATGTATGCATCGGCCAAAGAGAAGCAGGCTGTACAGAGTGTCATGATGTCATGTGTTAAGTTGTGCCTGGGTGCAATGAACCAAGACTTCAAATAGTTCAGTCACCAGGCTTGCTAACTTCTACTTCCCTTTGTGCTATAAGTAATCCGGTTATCCAGTAAAGTGTCAGCAAGTGAAATCTAACAGTATTGTGGCCATATTTACACTGATGAACCACAGACAAGTGGGAGGATACTAGGAGTGGACTTTGTCTTGGACAGTCTGAGCCAGAAATAAGACAAGATTTATAAAGAAAAGAGAAGACATTTGTTCTCCTATGTGTATCAAATGTGCTATTTCATCTCAGTGTAGTGTTCTCATATAAAGTGCGTCAGCGTTGGACAGAACACCTTTGGACATTGTAACTAACACAATCAAGACACGTTTACATTCCTACCAGGGTATAATATTGTGAACCCTTCCACTGAGACTGCAGAACTCCTGTATTTTTTTCTAAAACATCATGCCATCTGCACACTTAATGAAATAATCCAGTAGTTGCCATGCTAAAACAGGACTTCTAGTGAAGGGCACAGACAGAGCCCAAGGGGGGAACTTGAGTTATGCACAGTGATGAAAACTGGAAGCAATTTTCCAGCTAATGGTCTGCCAATGACCACTTGGAACGAGTTGGCACTGTATGTTATGCACCTCATTTGAAAATCCACTGCAAACCAAGATTTTTTTTCCAACCAAACTTCATAATCTTGACCGAATAGGCATTTTCTCAGTTAATCCAGTTACTCTGTCAGTGCTCCAAGGATCTCTTCTGGCAGTGCCACGAGTAAGTCTTTCTCTGGGGAACAGGCCATGCTCATGCCCACTGGCAGGACAGCAGCTTGCAAGACTGACATGTTTATGGAGAACCCTCCGCTGAGGCTGCAAGAAAGGAAAAAAAGGGGGAAAGGAAACATGGTTAATGACTTTCTTTATAGTCCCACATACCAACATGTAACAATTATCCTGTTTAAACAAACCTTAACACCCTTAGGTCAAAGAGAAAGGGCTAGCCAAGATGAGGGTTACTCAACTCAGGATGGATTAGTGGTGGCTTGTTCTGAAAGATCCTTGCACCAGTTGGCAAAACACAGAAGACGCACATTTCAAGAGCCAGGTCACATTGCCTGGAATGGAGGGCAAAACTGGGTCTTTGGACCGGCACCCTTCAGGGGTGCAGGCTGGGAATTCATCTCATTTTTCTGAGCTGCATGCATGTACCAGCTCGGAGGCACTATGAGTCTGGAAATGGTGCAAAACATTGTGTGTGTGTGTGTGTGTGTGTGTGTGTGTGTGTGTGTGTGTGTACACAATTTCATTCATTAGGAATTCTTGAATAAAATCAAGAAAGAAATATTAGAAGCAGTATGATTAAGAACTCCCAAGTTTGCACACTGAAAACTGAGTGAGTTTGGGGCAAGAAGGAAAATGTCATTCAAATCTGACTAGAGGTTAGAACTATTTGAAATGTAGTCCTGCTTTGGACTTTTGGAATTCTGGAATAGATATATTTTCCTTGTTTTAACTTTCTAATTTTCCCATTATTTTATCTGGCTACTCCACACACAGTTCTCTACCCACAGGTCCTCAATAATTCATTATTATGAGTATACATGAATGCTTTTTCTAAGAATTCAACACTAGTTTTATTTAATATACATAAAATTATTGAGTAACAGCAGGAGTTATTGATGGAAAAGAAGTATTCCTAGGCTTTTGAGTCCAAGTGGCTTTACAAACTACAAGAAGATACACAATTTGTAAGAAAGTGTTTGATTAAAACAAAAGGTCCTCTTGCAAGTATATTAAATGTCAAATAGTAACACACACTTCTGATAAGGTTGTTATGTGAGCAGAATGCTAATATGTTGCTCATGGCATTGTAAACTGGAAAAATAACATCCATTTATTTAACAATCATTAAAAATTTATATACCCTGATCTAGGGATCCCATTCCTAGGAGTGGACCCAAAGGAAAAATATGAAGAATAAAAGAAGCTGTGTGCAAAAATCTGTAACCTAGAGGTTATATTTATAATACAGAAAAAATTGGAAATAAGTCCATTGTTGAAAATTTAAGTTAAGCAAATTATAGTACATTAATAAGATGAATGATTAAGTGACCATTAAAATAATGCTAATTTTGATGATTATATAGCAATAGGATAAACAGTTATGATACTGTAATATACAACATAATATATGCATAAACAAATAGTAAGTGAAAAATAACTAGTGTTATTGTTGAAATACTTTGCAAAACAGTAAGAAAAATTAGGCTCACTATGTGCACACTCCCAAACAATGATTCACTAATGTGTCATGGTAGTTGACATTCACTAGTACTATTTGGAAAAATAATACTTCATACTTTCACACAGAGATACCACTCCTCTGTCATTGAAAAGAGAGGAAAGAGAGACTAATGTGGGGAAAAATATCCAGGTCAACCTATGAGGAAGCCATACAGCCCTGAAGCACAGCATAGATTTCATGCAGACTGACACAGCAGAGCACAATATTCTTGAGGCTGTTGTTACAATCAGATCTGGGAGATGTATGTCCTTGGAAAAAAGCCAGCAAAATAAAATTCAAACAGGAATAATGAGAGTTAAAGACTGAGCCCTGCTGAGTTACTGAACTTACACCTTTGTGTGGAAATTGCAGTAAGGTGTATCATACAAATACTGTGTTGTCTACATGGGTTTCCAAGAGCTCATGGAGGGAGATGCGTGTGTGGCAGGCAGATATCTATGAGTTCAAGGCCAACTTGGTCTAACAATCAGGTACCAGGACAGCCAGGGCTACACAGAGAAGCCCTGTCTCAAAAAACAAAATAAAACAAAATGAAAAAAAAAACAAACAAAAAACTTAGATCTTAGTCTTTTTATCACATATGCTCAATGGCAGGCTTTTCTGTCATCATTATAGATTTTTTTAAATGCAATGAGTTATTGTGTCTGTGTATATATGTATATGGGCATGCACATGCCACCATCGATGTTTGGAGGTCAGAAGATACCTTGAGGTAGTTGGTTCTCACCTTCTGCCATGTAGGACCTGTGGATAGAGCTCAGGTTGTTAGGCTTGGGTGCCCATGCCCATAACCCACTCAGCCATCTCTCTGGCTCTCACTAGAGATTTTTGTTATCATGCCTAGAAGTCATAGTTCGAAACCTACATAAAGGAAGCTAGGGTGGTGGCTCAGTGAATCTTTATATACTTGCCACTTAAGCATAAGTTAACTCAGCCTGAGTTCCCGAGTTCAGACCCCCATCACTCACATAGAGGCTGGGTTCTTTGCCAGGCATGGTGATTCATTTTTTAACCCCAATGCTCAGGCAGCAGAAGCAGGTAGGTATCTATGAGTTCAAGGCCAATCTGGTCTATAAAGCCAGAGTTGCACAGTGAGATTCTATTTCAAAAACAATGTCATTGTTTTTCTCTGCTGAGTAGTACTCCATGGTGTATATGTGCCACATTTTCTTAATTTATTCTTCAGTTGAGGGGCATCTAGGTTGTTTCCACGTTGTGGCTATTATGAATAAAGCTGCTATGAATATAGTTGAGCATGTGTCCTTGTGGTATGATTGAGCATTCCTTGGGTATATGCCCAAGAGTGGTATAGTTGGGTCTTGAGGAAGATTGATTCCCAGTTTTCTGATAAACTGCTGTACTGATTTCCAAAGTGGCTGTACAAGTTTGCACTTCCACCAACAGTGTAGTAGTGTTCCACTTGCTCCACATCCTCTAAAAAAAAAATGAATAAAGCTTGGTGTATGGTGTGTGTCTCAGGGCTTGGAGGCCAGAGGCAGGAGATCCCTGGAGCTCACTGGCCAGCCAGTCTAGTTAATCTATGAGCTCCAGGTTCAGTGAAACCTTGTCTCACAAATAAGATGAAGAACAATAGAAGAAGACTCGCACCCCCAACCTCAGGCCTTCACACACATGTGTGCACAAACATGAGGCACATACTCACATGCATGCACTACATGAGTGGGGCTGAGGATTTACTCAGTTGGTACAGTAGCTTGCCTAGTATTAATGAAGCCCTGGGTTCAGTCCCCAGCACTGCATAAATTCAGTGTGGTAATATACACTTATAACCCCATAGAGGTGGAGACAGGAAGATGAGAAGTTCAAGGTCATTCTTGTCTATATAGTAAATTTGAGGGCTAGGCCAGTCTACATGAGATCTAGTCTCAAAAGGAAAAATAAAGGAACAAAATTAAAATAAACATTTAAAGAAGCTACATTTGGTCAAATGCAAACTGGCGCTTTGCATTTGGCACCTTTGGCTCTGTTAAGTGGCAAGCTGATCATCTTTCAGATGGTGTCTGCTTTGGGCTCCAGCCCCTTGTGCAGAAGCTATCCCAGAGTCTTTGGTTACCATTTTCACTGCAATGATTCTGGCCTATGCTCCAACTTCTTTCTTCTCAGATGTTTTCTTTGTATACCTCTGACACCATGAATATCATCTCCTCCATCTTTCAGGACCTCCTTCCTCCAGGGGTCACATTCTTTAAGAAGCTTTCTCTCTTTCTAGAAACAGGTAAGAACTCCTTCCTGTGTGCTAGTATGGCTTCTTAAACTTTGATCACCAAATCCTCGATAAACACTTTATTTAATACAATTATCACCACCTCTCTTTAAACTTGGGGATTTGTATATGCCAAGCAGCATTCTACCAATAAGCAATGCCTCAGCTTTCCTCTTCAACTTTTTGAAGGCAATGCCATATCTTATTTGTGTCTTGTTAAAACATTATGCAGTATCAGATATATAGTCAGTGCTTAATATGTAGCTGTGAAATTAAGAAGGACATACTGTTGGAGAGGACTCATTATTTGGTTGTTTAATCTACTAATGAAGTTTGTGTTCTTGGAGTCAATCATATTTGATCCAGAGTATGGGATAAGTAGGGACGCTTTTCAAACCCAGTAGTCAAGAGCACGGGTTCTGGAAGACCTTTCACCCTCAAGGCTCATCCCTTACCAGTTGTGTGATATAAAAACCATGAATTTTTTTTTTCAAAACTCAGTTGCTTCATCTTTAAAATAGGTCACATCATCTCTTCCTAAACGAGTTGCTGTGGAATGAAGAAATGAGAGTAAGGGTGCTATGCACCATGCTTGGCAAATAAGAGATACCTGATGAGTGAATGACAGCATTTATTGTTGTGTTATTATCACAAGTTCCCAAAGTTCCTTTGGGACATCAGAGACACAAGTATCTCCTTGTTCAAGGGCTAGGAAAAGAAACACAATGCCCAGATGTCAGACCTTTGTACCCTTTCCCCACTGGCCAGGCCACTGTCGCTGTACCCTGGTACCACTCTCCTCTGGATTAGTACAGACTTCAGACAGTTGCCTGATAACAACGGGAGAGTCTAACACTTCAAAGGCAGGAAATGACTTGCCTGGCAGGCAGCAGGCAGCCTGGCAGAGGGCTCAGGAACAGATTTGGGACTTAAGTGTTCAGCTTTTACCTCCTTTCACCCCAGCAACAAGGGATGAAGGCTTGGCATGTTTGGAAGAAAGATTCCGTGTAAGGTCACTCCACATCTCATGACCCGAGAGGGGCAAATATGACTTTTCCCTTGAAAGGGGGTGTTTAGTGTCTTCCATTCAGAAAGAAAGGAAAGTGTCTTTGTGAAAGAATGTGTCTTTCATGGAACTCAAGTTCGAAGTCATCGGTGTGGGCTCAAATTGCTCTCGGATATGTGTTTGTAATTTATAGCAAGTGTGAGTGAGTGCCACAGTTGCCCAACCTAATAGCCAGTAAGCAGGTCTAAGATTTACTGAGCAGGCACCATGGGCCAACCAAGACTTTACAGACAACTATTTGCCGGAACTCCAGTGCCATTTTGGAGGTCTCCATC